TGAAAGTCTGAGAGTGTGAAGCAGATACGTCAACGAAAACGACCAAAAATCCGACCCACTACTTTACTTCTGCTCACTCCTTTCCTGCCCACACTAAATGCCTCCATCAAGGAATGGTGCTACAGGCCACAACAGGCATTGCTACTTAGCAGGGCGTTTCTAGCTTTTTGGGGGCCCTCATGCAAGATGCCTGTTGGGGCCCTACGTTTTTACATTTTTTTAAACTAACAATCGCGGGGGTTCCGCGCTTTCCTCTATCCTGTGGCGCTGCTCCTCTGCTCTACATTTAATAGGACAAACAGGCTAATTTCCGAAAACCAAAGCAATTGACCATTACAAAAAATTCCTGCCCAAAGCGCTCTACCAAACGGCTCCTCTACGTCGAATACACTGCAAGAGTGCCAGCTTTCTCTCCCTGTTTCCTCTATATTTTCTCTCCTTCGTCAGGACGTCCCTTGGCCTGCCCGCCTCGCTTCTGCTTTCCTTCCAAAAACAAAGCCGCAGCTTGCCTATCATTGCTATTTAGTCGTCGTTTACTATCCTACATTGGATTTTTCAGCTATATCGCTTCAACACCACAGGAGCCGGAGCGCTGCGCTGTACCCACTACAGACGCTCTTTGAATTCTCCCACTCATCCTGAGGCTGAAACTGCACCTTGCCTTCTCTGCTCCAATCCGCAATCTTGGGTCTTTGTTCCAATTGTGGATGCCCGCTTCATCCTATCGTACCACTGGCTTTGCAGTCTCAAACTTATCCCTTAATGTGGCCACCACTACATTTCACATGTTCTTCACTACACCAACGTCCTGAGAGTAGCACCAGCTCCGCTCTACTACGGCTTCTGCCCTAACGGAGACCCGCACACCTCTGTGCCTGTATTTTTAGGACTGCATTGTTGACCGCCTTTGGCCGCCTCTCCAACTCCTCTCGTACCGCACAAAAAAAAGTATATAACGAATAGCGCTGTGGTGTTGCGGTAAACTAGGGAACACAGCGCAACTCCATATTTTAAAAAAACTCAATCTATTAACATGTGTTGACATAGTACAGCTTAAAACAGTACTGGGTTATGCACAACATTTTCCATAACAAAATGTCCTAATAAAATTCAAAAGCAGTTCCACCACTCTACACTGGAGCGATAAGAACTTGCCCGACATGGGAAACGCAAACAGACATCACACAACGTAGCTTAACGGAGCAAACACGGGAGAATCTTACTCTGCAGTCGTTCCTGATCAAAGGTTTGTGTTCAATGGCATTAAAATATAAAAACGCTGCTGAAGTTATCCATAGGCTTAAATACAATTGTGTCCTGTGTCACTTTGAAATCTATTTCCTGATAACTCAACTCTTCCTATTTACGTATGTCAATAACGGAGATTTCATAATAGGCTTGTTTGAGGACAAGGAGACCTGCGCAGACCTGCGCAGTTGCGATCAACGTCCTTGCTAGTGCATTGCAATCGATGGTTAGTCCTTCTGTCGACTTGCTCTGGAGGCTCGCCTACATGAGCCGTTTGAAATCTTGCGGGACAAAGACGCCCGAAGCCTTGGAGCGAGGCGCGCAGGCGCAGTTCTTCTCCACGGGATGCGGAAGCGAAATGCTTGATGGGAGCAACGACTCGCTGGTATCTCGAGCTGAGCGCTCATTGGTGGTTTTTACCACGAGCTGCTGATGAAACTCTCCAATTGGCTTGGCAAAAGTTTGTTGTTGTTTTGTCTCAGTTTTACGTCGCCCCTTCCATTAACATTTTTCATCATTGTTCCACAATGTTTATCATCATGAAGTTAACATCCATATATTTTATACTATACTTGCACTGCTTACCGTTTCCATACTTTATATATCTTAGCATATTCATACACACTGTTCATACTGCTCACAGGCTGCTGTGTATATCTAGTGTATTCATACCCCTCACTGTTTATTCATCATTCAATTCATTCTATATTTTATTCTGTAGATTGTGTACATTACTTTTCACTTTACTGCTTGTTGCACTCCTGGTTAGAAGCTAAACTGCATTTCGTTGTCTCAGTACCTGTAATATGTGCAATAACAATAAAGTTGAATCTCATCTTGAGCAGGAACAAATGTATTTACTTAGTAAATATCTGACATTAACGATTAAACACATGTGTGCATTCTTTATAAACGCAAACCGAGTCAAGCCGACTCCGGAGGTTGCAGTATGCACCTTAAAGTTGTTTGCAATCCGCCAAAAAACCGAGAGAAGAATAAGAAGAAGGCGAAGAAGAAGAAGGCGAAGAAGAAGGCGAAGAAGAAGAAGAAGAAGAAGAAGAAGAAGAAGAAGAAGAAGAAGAAGAAGAAGAAGAAGAAGAAGAAGAAGAAGAAGAAGAAGAAGAAGAAGAAGAAGAAGCCGACTCGGAGCTGTCCGACTTCAGGCGAGCTTTTTGAGACCTCCCCCGGCTGCGATCGGCTACTCTCGTCTACTTTCGAGGCGAGCCGCAACGCGTTTCAAACAAGCCTATTAGCTGCTACGAGAGTATATGACAGGAGGAGTTGAGAAGAGTACTGCAAGATGGCGGAGTGAGAACGTTGCAGGCTCGTAGAAAAAGTTTAGATTTGAGTCCTTGACTGCAAAACCGACAGGCAATAGCTTATTCATGATACACTTTAAGTTATTATAGAAGCTTAAATAGTCACATTTTACTTTAATTCTCCAGTTACCAACACTTTTGACATAAAGTGCCTGCTAGCATGACCGACCACGATTACAACTTAAAAGTTCTCCGTGAGGCGTGTGACGACTCGGATATTGAGGACATGGAAGCGGACAACTCTAAGGGACACAAAATAAATTGGGACCACACACCAACTAAAGGACCGAATCCAAAGAAATCAAAGGTTGATGGCGAAACACAAATGGCAGAGGATAGCAGCAGCACCATTCTCCAGGCAATACAATTCTTATCTGGAAAAAAATGGATGAACAGACAGAGCGGTTAGAAAAGTTTGAAAAACGCATTGAAGCAAACACTGAAGCAGCTAAAGAAAATAAGAAAGACATTTCTGCTCTTCAGAAAAAGTTTGATGATCTTCTGAAAGATAACAATTTACTACGTAAGTCTGGCGAGGAGCAAGCCCGCTACAAATGGAGGTGGAATCTGAGGATGAATGGTCTGCCTGAAAAAGGAGAAAACACAAGAGAAGTTGTGATCGGGAAACTCACAAGAGTTGTTCCGCTGTCTGTGGAAAAGCTGCGTGTCTCAGTAGACACTGTCCATCGGCTGGATATGAAGGGTAATGCAGCTACTTCCAACAACACACCGTGGTCAATCATCATTCAGTTCGAGAGTCTGCAGCGAGATGCACATTCGTTTCAAAGAGGATTTCTCCAAGGAGGACCGGGAGGCTCGCTCCAAGCTGTGGCCACACGGTTCAAGAAGCCAGGAGAAAGGGGAAGAGAGCTTTTCTGAAGGAAGGCTTCGCGCTGATTGACAATAAAAGAGTGGACCCGGAATAACGTGAAAAACACCGCAGTAATTAACTGGAGGGACAGGGAGCAGGTTTTCGGTCCTCATGCTGAAGTTCTCAGTTTGAGTGTTTTTAGGATTGGACTTGTCTCAGGTTATATTCAAAATGTTGTGAGCTATTGCACTAAATATGTTTGTTAAGGGCTACGTTACTCACTCCTGCGCATCGATATAGCATTCCTTTGCGCATTTTCTTAAGGATTCTATTTTTGCTCTTTCAATGTTATCGTTCATATCCTTAAATGCTAGGGGGCTAAAAAACTATGTGAAATGCAAGGCAATCTTTCTTTTTTGTAAGGAACAAAAGGCAAATTGTGTTTTTCTGCAAGAAACTCATTCTGCAGAGGCAGACACTAATGGCACATTTCCACTGCAGCGGGGTAGCCCCATTTAAGCGTCCCTAAGCGTCCTCGCTCAGGCCTCGGGCTGCCTCGCTGGCCGTCCGAGGCTGTGGCGCATTTCCATTACAGTTTAGGACCTGGGGTAGCAACGCAGTGTAGGCGGGGCATCTGTGCGGAGACATCCTGGAACACTTTCACATTTCGTGTTGTTTCGTCGAGCTCCCGCTGGATTTTATCATCCCCAATGAGATGTAGGAACGTCTAAAAAGGCTGCAAGCTTGCTTCTAGATATACAGTATATGCGATGCTAGGGATGATCTCGCGCACGATCTTGTGACGATTCTCTCTGACCAATCAGCAGTCAAGAGTGTTGACGTCGCTAGTTCAGCCCTGGCCCTGGCCTGATAGAACCACGATTTTATGGGGCCGGAAAAAGAGGGAAAAAGTACCCACTAGCCGGTGCTACGCTATATGGAAAGGCCACCAAAAACTGGCCTGGCCGCTTGAGGACGATTAAGGACGCTTAAACGGGGCTACCCGCTGCAGTGGAAATGCGCCATATGTCTGTCTATAGAGGGCTGGCCTCACCAACAGCTAAATATAGCTGCCATTGGAATGATTGCATAGCCAGCCTCATCAGAAACTAAAGAAAATATGGAGTTTAGTTTTGAGAGAACCCCATTGCTGAGTAATAAAGCAATTCAAAACTGTTATCTCTCACTGCCACTTGGGACTACAGAATTGCAAATTAGGCAAGTTGAGTCTTCAAAAGTACAAACGTCACATGATGTTTCTGTAATTCCCCTAACAGATAGGATGCTGCTCATAGATAAGGAACATTCTGCTACTCTGAGTTAGAGAAACAATGTGTATTTGAGATTCCATTTCTTGTGACAAATCTCTAAAATATATGTATCGCTGGACATATCTATCTCCGAAACTGGTAAAATTATAAAATGCTTCAGTGTACAAGAGTGGGTTTTGTCATGAAATGGGTCATTCTGCTGTTTCGGGCGAATGAGAGTACAGGCTGCTGTCAGAGGTTTAGAGTTTGGTTGCATGTATATCCTGATAGAGTTGTGAATGCCATGTGTACTTTGCTGTGATATGTTGAAGGCAAATAAATGAACACGATGGGAGAGATGAAAAAAAAGTATAAACTATATATATTACTATACTACTTTAAATGTATCTGCAACCGGCCACAAGCTTTATCTTGTGTGCGTGCGTGCGTGTGTGTGTGTGTGTGTGTGTGTGTGATGTCATTATTCACACTCCGTTGAGTGTGTGCTTTTTTTCAGCTCACCCTTACTTGCCAGTGTTATATAATACTAGAGTTAACATTTTTAACAAATAGACATGAGTTAAGAGAACAGCATAAGAAAAAAAGAGTTATGACATATTGAATGAGGCACAGTGAGGTCTTCTGAGGATCAAAATGGAAAGGAGAGTTAAAACAAGGAAAAGTTAAGAGGCTTTGTGTTATACAATAAGCTAGAGGCGACTGGAAACAATTAGACATTTTTTACTTTTAGGATGTTTTTATTTACAGTATCCGAGAAGTGCATGTTGTTGTCACATTGAATTGCCTGTATTAACACATTTCAGGGTGTAGTGAAAGGACCAAGCAAGATTGAAAAATGTCAGGCCATTATCAGTTTAGGCAATATTGTGTCCTGGTCTTTTCTATAAGCAGAAACATATTCACATAGACATATTAGAAAACACTTTATTTTGACCTCCTGAGAGGATTAAGCAGCAATTAAAACAATTAGAAACAGATCTTTCACTATCCCCAGTTGATGACTTGTCCAGGCATGCCCTTTATGAAAAACATATGGGATGTGGGAGCCGGTTTTTCCAACTTGCTTACAGAGCCGTGATGGAGTCTTTACCATATACTGCTCTTAAAGCAAACACTGTATTTCAGGAGAAGTCTTTGCACACAGAAGTCACTTTGCCATGAAATTAAAGCTGGGATCTGTTTTGCTGTGAGGTGAGAAAGCTTATATCTGGGCCACCTGATGTTGATTACTAAGATAAATCCATGTTATATGCATACAATAATCTCATCAATTTACTTTGATTATGAGAATACTTTGATAAAGTTGCTTACATGCATAATAAAGGGGGCTTTTATGATAAAGGCAAAGGCAGCAGATATAATCTTTGGGAAGATGCACCTAAGGAAACTTATGTGAGCAGTCAGCAGCAGCCTCTGGCAGTGTGAGGTTGTTCGTCACCTGATGGAGCCAGGTACGTTATCCTGCTCCCACAAACATGAGGTGTCTTTGATTCATATACGCCCAAATGTTTCTGACTGACCCTTCGCACCAACAAAAGGAAAGAAAAAGGTTTCCATTTTAGATTGATAAAAACCAAAACAGGTAAACATATGTGTGCCATTGTCATCTTTCTTTACCGTTATCTAAGTATAAATATTGCTGCGGTGTTGCTTAAGATGTAATTTAAGGTATTAGTTAAATGTTTTTATACTATTTACTTCAGAAATGAATTGCATTGTTCTAACATTTATGGGATATGGCAGGAAAAAAATCTACAAATAAACGCTATGAGAATTTGTAACATAATTCATCATTTCTCACCATCCTATTACTCAAAAGTAGTATGAAAATTGCATTTAGCAACGTAAAATAACTAACAAACGGAGGAGAAATCCATAATTCATGGAGTGAACCAACAAACATGGGCCAACAAGCCCTGTGATTGCTGTGAAATTTAGATTGAATTTCAGTCCATATATTATCATATTTACAGTGCATAATTGTCAAGTACGTGTTGACCTTTTATTTCACCTTCTTCATTCATCAGCCTTCCCAGGATTTTTTCTGAGACTTACTTCTTAATACATATCAGTAGGAAAAGAAAAATCACCGTAAAGAAAGCTATTAGTTATAACAATATAATTTATTCCAAAAATATAGTAATAAATATTTGTATTTTGGTAGGTAAACATGACTTATTAATAATCACTCTTGTTGCAGCCAATAGTCTGTGCCGATAGAAATTATTGAACATTTCCCTTACCGTGTCTAGTTTCTCTCTGCCTCTGTTTGCAATTCAACACATTGAAATTCAAAGGTCATGATTCATTAATTACCCAAAGACTCATTAACCATGCTTTTATTGATCAAAATAAATCTGGAATTCTTATCCTACTGCAACCATTTTGATCCGACTGACCTAAAGACTGCACTTCGACAATTATTTTTTTTTTTATTCAAATGATCAGACAGCAATAACTTCAAGAAACTTTCCAGCCTACTACTTTCTAATAAACACTCTATGGGTTTTTTAAGGTGAGCTTGATATCCTATTCAGTCTGTGGTCTTAAATGTTGTCTAAAGATGCAATTATGTCAAGCTTCACAGTTCAGATCAGATATACCAAATGAGGAGAAAGTCACAGGCTCAATAAATATGTTGTGATAAATGAAAAATAATGTTATCCTGGTAAGAATAATTAGATTATTCACTTTCTTACCGAACTGCATGAACACTTATATATATTTCTGTCAATGCATGTATAAATAAACGCCTGAATAGAGTACAGTGAACCCAAACACAATACTCTATCACTGGACGTTATGCTGCAGTCTGTGATGCTACAGTGACTTCCTGTTTACATATGGCAGTACATCCTAACACAATATTAAAGGTTTTTCCTG